GTATCAAACACTGTAGTCTCACAATAAAGCTAGAGAAAAGACAATGTTATTACAAAAATCATGAGAAAATATATTTACAGTATTTATTTTTAAAAAATGCACTTACATGTGGACCTACACAATTCAAATCAGTGTTGTTCATTGGTTAACTGCATTAAACTGCTGAATTGCTCCATTTGTTGTATTTTTTTTTTTCCTTCCACCGAGCTGAAGTTTGCCTCTGATCATGATGCTTAGATTTGCCCTCCAGAGCAAAGAGCAAAGCATTCTGCTCTCTGTTGCAGTCCTTTAAATACTTGAAAGCAGCTAATCTGTCTTCTTTTAGTCCTCTATTTCCCTGGAAAAAAAACTCAAACGCCATTGATGTAAGAGAGTTTCTAGGTCCTTCTTCATGGTCACCCTTCCTCCCCCCCCCCCCCATAAATTTATCATAAAGATTTTAAAGTTTGCTGACAGTAAGTTTTAAGTGATGTTAAATGAAGATTTACAGCACATCTGCAAATTAAATTTATCCTACGTTATTCATACAAAGAGTTGTTGGAAATTGTTTTAAAACTAGCAACAAATTTAGGTAGCATTTATTAAAAATTTTTATTATTCTGATATAGTTTCTAATGTCTTATATAATGAAAAATATAATAATTATTCTGTGTTTTTCCTGATTCAATATCTGCTTTCTTCACTTATTTTCTTTTTATCACTCTCCCAAATTAGATTTTTCTAAGGACGAAACATTTCTGTAAACACTATCAAAATGAAATCCCCATGATGCAAAAGTTAAAATAAAATACATATATTGAAAGTTTATTTCTGTGGCATTTATTACTGGATATTGCTACTAAGATTACCAATAAATACACAGAGGATTCTCCTGAATGGATTTGTGGTTTATGCCAGTAAATTAAATTAATTCTACTGAGTTTCTTAGTCATAAGATACCAATAATTTTATTCATGTTTTTTCAGAGTCAGAAGTGTAACTGTTCAGCTATTGGATACTTAAATATTTTTAAGATGTTAATAAACTATGGTAGTGCTTTGAAATCATTCTTTTTACAGTTGACCCAAAATAAATCTTGGTGATTGTCATTTGCTACTAATCTTATGCTTTCAGATGAATGCACGTATATTCTTACTGGCAAGGTGAAATCTTACATGAAATATAGGTGGCTCAGTATGTACGGGAGTGGTTTATGTTGAAGGCCCACTTAGTTCTGTTCTTTGGGTCCTCTGATGCAGTGGCACCAATGCCATCCAAGCAAAAAAAATTCAGATTTAAAGTGCCCATTTTTGTTTATATATTTAAAATATGTAAAGATGTGTTCATAGTGGTACTGACACTTATTGTTAGGAATAATGATGAATAATATTTTTTATTATATTGGATTTAGAATGTCTTTGGAAATATTTAAAACTTCATGCATAGTATTTCTGGGCCATTATCTTTTTGTCAATATTGGACAATTAAATTTTTGTAAGACCAATTTCATTATATATAAACCTGTCAACAAAACATAATTTAGAGAGAAAGTCATGATTTCATAAAATAATATACATCTTAAAGTAACTGAATTCAATTCTAAAACTTTAAAGATAGTTACATCCTTATAGAGAAGAATACATTATATACATTATAGTTGGTAAGAATACAAGGTCATATTATAAAATATATAAATAAATAGTCAAAGACCAAGGCAGATGTGAAGAGAACGAGATGGCAGTATCCAGAGCAAATCCAGATTTCCTTTCTGGTCCCAGTTCTGCCACTCAGTGCAGGGTAGTTAGATAAGGCGCAGTTTCCTCATCTCTGAAAAGCAGGAGCTGAACTTGTGCTTTCTAGTTCTAAAATTCTGTCATTGAAGGAGGGAGCTGTAATGAGCCTACAAAGCATTTCCCCCTGTGCTTTACTGGTTTGGCTTTCTGTTTCCAGTTCTCTCTCTAAAGCTATTTTGAAAATGTAAAAGAAATTCCTCTGCATCTTAAATTTTTTTGGTCTTTTGCTGAGAACCAAATAAACATTTGAAGTGCGCACACCTTATTTCTAAAGCAGTGGTTAAAGTCTAATAAGCCAGAACCTCTTAAAATGATGTGGCTCAGTGAATTTGCAGGAGTATTTGTGTGTGTGATGATGATTTAACCTTCCTGTACGCAGAATCACAAAGAGCAGTTCTTTTGACCTGATTAAAATATGGGGTTTTTTAGAAACATAATTTCACTAGGATTGTTTTTAATGGATCAGCTCAAAAATGTTTGATTGCATGTGATTGTGCAATAACCCAGAAGAAAATGATATTGATGGTGGTATTCCCCCCTCCCTCACATTTTTTTGATACAGAATAATGATTGGATTTAACCTTTTTCTTTCTCCATAGTTATACAACTTTTGAACATGAGCTCCAGAAATGGCAGTATTGATCAGTGTTATTCACAAATGATAAGAATCATTTATCTAGGTACAGTAGGGGAAAGATAATCTTTGTACATGGAAACAGAAGATAAGTACGGGAAAAAATTATGAAAACCTTCAACTACAGTCTCTCTGTATATAAGCTAAAAATTTTATAATTTTGCTGAAAATTTTTAAAGTTAACATTTCTTAGAAGTAGGCATTTTCTAACATACATACATATACACGCATATATATCTATATATAATATTAAAATATAATTGTGGAAATATTCATGGCTTGCCCTCAAATACTTATTGTCCTTGGTTTGTGTGATAATCTTAACTTGGAAAAAAAAGTGTATTTGTTTGAAATTTACAAACTGTAGAAACGCTTATTAAAGACTCATTTTACTAGCATGTGTTAAGGTGGGGTTCTTATTTTCTGACTAACATTTCAGTATTTTTAATTATGATAAACCACGTAACACAGACTCATGAATTTGGGGGCAGTGAAAATTATTTCCTTTGACTCTTTTTTCTGCATATCATCAATTTGCTTTTTACTCATGTTTCTCCTACTGTCGCTGTAAGCTTACTTGTTGTTTTTTCTTTCCTTTTCTTCATGCTGTCGTTTAGAGCCCTACAGAGAGACAAGTATGGGAGTAAAGCTAAACATTGCATATCAAATGTAATTTTTTTTAGTTCACTTTTATTGCATCACATATAGATGATGTAGTTATTAAAAACAGTTCATCTCACAATTTAAAAACTTAAAGAACCTATGAATTGACTTATGTAAATATATGTTCATAGAGATTAGACGCTTTTGTTGTCTGATTCTTTTACTGTGTCGCATAATCAACATAGTTGTTAAGTCTCATGTAATGTTTGTGTGAGTTAAATTGTTTTTAAATTAAGCATTTGATTTTGCTAATTCATAAACTTTTAATTTTTATTAGTACATGTCTCATAGAAATATTTGTCATAAGCAACATGCCCACTTTAATTTTACGATGGCTGTTTTCAACCCGTACCTAATGCATTGACAACAGAAATAATAAACTTGTTTCAATGCATCAGTCACGCAACCATGACCATCAAGCCTACCATAGCAGCCTCCGCGGCAGCCGTCACCCATCACACATGGCCCTCTAAAAAGCATTTACTTTTTTTTTCCTTAACATTGTGGATTTGTCTACAAGGTACCTTATAACATGAAAATAAATCGCTTCACCCTATGTCTGTGATGGGTGCTTCTTTAATGTATTTTATGCACTGCTGTTTTTGAAAACTGTGTTACTTGAATGCAGAGTATCATCAGAAGTCTACCTAAAAATTGACCAATTTGGGATACTTTAAGCCAGCAGTGAACTAGTTCAGTTTTGATAAACAATTGCATCACAGATATAGAATGAATGCTATATTTTCACAAGTTAGCAGTATATTGAGAAGTTTAATGAATTATTTAATTAATTGTTCAGTAAAAAATACTCTTTCTTATTTGCCGCTATTGGTCGAATGTTTGTGTTTGATTTTCTTTTGTGGTTGCATTTGAAGAGATTTATGGAATTCTAGATTCTTGGATTTCTGTTCATTCAAGAGAATGCAAAAACGTTGAATAAGCATGTGGTCAAATTTATTTAACTATAGCTGTTTTTTTCCAGAATACAATGTTTAATCAATCTTTTTTTAAACCTAAAGTTTAATTTATACACAAAGTAATCACTCATTATGAAATAGAAACTTTAATTTTCACATTTTCACACTATGTCTTTAGGAACCAGATCACATTCTTTTGTATTATTATTTTAATGACCCTAAACAATTACTAATGGGTTAATATGTAATAGCAACCAAAGTGCTTATAGCAGGAAAAAAAAATAGAAAATAAAGACAAATTTATTTTTCTTTTGAAAGTTCTTATGTGCAAATTATTTTGATGTGCCCCTCATTTGACTAAACATGATTTTATGACTACATCATTCTGACAAATTTAACATAATCCTTCTGTGGTTTTGCATGATGTAGGGATTACTTTTAATATTATCGACTTACATATCAAATTATTAGAAAATACTTGATTCATTTACTTTGACCAGTATATTCAAAGTACCACACAGGAATTATGTTACTATTATACCAATTCCAATGTTAAGACAACATGTAAAATTAAAGGTAACTAATTACTGAATTGACTTGGATGTGTATAAATTGAAAGCTATGAATCATTATACCAAAGTTTTGCTTTTTTATTTTCTTTCTCTAAATTGTAATTAAATAGGCTTCAGATAATTTTAGGCAATGTTTGTGTATAAATTGGAAATTCATCGATTCTTTTTTTAAGACTTATTTTAAATAGTTTTTTTCCAATTATAAGATTTCTATCAATTGTCCAAGTATATATATATAGATGTGTACATTACATTAGTGTTTTTGTTTTTTACTTCCAAACATTTTATACCCAATTTAAAAAAAAAAATGCTAGCAATTTATACATACTTCGCAGTGCTATGCTTTTTTTTTTTTTTTTTTTTTTTTTTTGACTTTTGTGTCTGTTGTGCGTCCCCTGGCCCATTGGGCGGTGATGTCACAGTGTCCTGTCGTGTCTTTCAGAGGGGCTTCTGAACAATGCCAGGGATACAAGTGTCATGGATACTCTACCACTGAATGGTAACCATGCCAACAGCTACAGCATCGCCGGCGGCGAGTACCACCTGAGCAACTGCGTGCAGATCCTGGACCGCGGCTACACCCACACCGAGACCACGGCCCTGGAGAAGAAGATCCTGAAGGAACTCACGTCCAACTACATCCCTTCCTACCTGAACAACCACGAGCGCTCCTCCTGCGAGCAGAGCAGGAACCTGATGAACAAGCTGGTGAACAACCTGGGCGGAGGTGGCGGCGGGGGCGGCGGCGAGGAGGATGCCATCGTCCTGGACGACGCCGCCTCCTTCAGCCACGAGGACGGCCTGGGCCTGGAGCTCATCCACGAGGAGTCGGACGCCCCCTTGCTGCCCCCTCGGATGTACTCGGTGGCGGAGAACCACCACCCGCAGCCGCACCATTACCCGCGCCGGCGCATCCCGCAGGACCACAGCGAGAGCTTCTTCCCGCTGCTCACCAACGAGCACACGGAGGAGGAGCTGCCCTCGCCGCCCCGGGACGCCCGCTACACCAGCATGCCCGCGCTGGCCGGGGCGCCCCCCGCCGCCCGCGCCGACGGGGTGCCCGCCGGCACCCCGACGGAACCCCCGCCGCCCAGGGCGGGCGACGCCGCCGCCGACGACGTGTACTACAAGAGCATGCCCAACCTGGGCTCCCGCAGCCACGTGCACCAGCTGCACACCTACTACCAGCTGGGGCGCGGCAGCAGCGACGGCTTCATCGTGCCCCCCAACAAGGACGGGAGCCCCCCGGAGGGCAGCGCCAGGGGACCCGCGCACCTGGTCACGAGCCTATAGGGGATGATGGATGGGGGCCCCCCAAACTGCCCGCTCCGCCTGGGGGACCGCTCCGCCTGGGGTACCGCTCCGCCTGGGGGACCACTTTGCTCCAAGCAGTGGGGAAGGATGCCTACTCCTCAGTCTGGATGCTGTTCCTGAATGACAACCGCAGACTGCCTGTCAGACTCTTTTCTTTTTTTCTTTTTTCTTTTTCTTTTTAAACTGGGATTTTTAGGTCCACCCAGGGGAGAAAGGGAATTGCTGACCCCCCCCAACCCCCTGCGCCCTCTCCTCTCCGGCCCTCCCCCCTCTGATGGGATGGAGACTTCATTATGTTAATGAACGAGATAGGAAGCAAAGGCGCTCGCTGTGGCCTTGTTGACCATGTGGTGTGTGGTCTGACATCTCTGATGCTCTGTTACTAGAATGACAAGGACCTGATGTTGTTGTTCTGTTTTGTTTTTTGTTGTTTTTTGTTTTTTTTAAAAAACAGGCCAGAAGAGTTGTTTGAAATGAGTAACAATGCTGCATCTAGAGTGGAGTGCTGCACAAACAGACAGACGAGCAAAGCAAAAACTGTATCATCACCTTAGTGTGTTTTTTTTTAGTCATGCACAGCCTGGGTCACCACTGCAGCGGGGACAGCTGTGGTATGCAAAAGTCAGACCACACGATTAATAACGGAACAGAGGGGAGTTTCTAGAAGTATATGCTAGACGCATATTTTATGATTTGCTGTATTAACTGATGATAAAACTAATGGCAGAAAAAAAATTGAACAATTTCTATGTAATGTACAGATACTAGCATTGCACATATAGTCTGCTTTCTGTTCCTCCAGAATTTGAGTCCTGTTAATGTAGTGCAAAAAAAAAAAAAAAGAAAAAAAGAGAGAGAGACACATTTTCTTTTTTCTTTCGTGCTGGTCTTGCAAGTTTGTCTACCAGTAAGAGAGCAAAGTTTCCTTCCTTTCGCTTTTGTTTTCTTTCCTTCATTTTTTTTCTTTTCTTTTCTTTTCTTTTCTTTCCTTTTTTTTTTTTTTTTTTGCCTATTTTCTTTAAAATGTCACCTGGCAAAAATAAATAAATAAATAATAAATAAATAAATAAATAAATGAAACTATCACTTTATAAGAATCATTTTCTAGTAATGCAAACAAATTATTTTTTACAAAAAAAAATAAAATAAATAAAATTAGACTTCCTTCCTCACTATATATCTTTATCCAGTCAGAATATTTCCAAGAGCATTTTTGCAAATTAGAGCAGGACAAACGTTTATGTTCACGGTGCACATCTGTTGTAATGCAAGCATATTTGGCAAGTTAATCATCACCATGACAGTAGCTATGGTTCTAGAAGTCAAGAGATGTCAATAGAACTAGTTGGGCTTCTGCATGTGAAAACAAAAAACAAAAAAAACCACGGTGTTCATAGGCATTACAGTGCTGAATGCTCAGTCTGATCCCCTTGTGGGCACCTGCACTACTGATTAGGAAATCCACTCCCTTGTAGTAAGAATCAAAAGGTCAAGTTATTTTGAAGTGATTAAAGAAAAAAAAATCTCTTCTGTTTGCTAACAGGAACATTTATTTATTTGACAGGATTTTAAGTAATCTAGGAATACAAGAGGTAAATTAGCAGCACATATAATTTTCTTTTTGAATTTACAATCCATTTTGTATGGTCTCAAAGTTGGATGACCTCATTACTAATATTTGTTGTAAAAGTGAAACTTGTTTGCCAACCAATAAACAACTGATTGAGATTTAGTAGATATTGTATTGATGTATGTACTATCTGATTGATTAATTATTCTTTTTTGTTTTTCTCACCTTTCTTTCCTTCTGTTTTCAGTATGCAAACTTTTCCTAGTCCTCTTTGACTCAATTGAGCCATGCAAAAGAAATTAATCTGCCTGAATGAAAATAACCTAAGCACAGAATTACACAGTTTTTGCAGAGTAAACCAGAAGAATGTGATGGGCATGTTTATGTTGGCTGAAATAAGATGTATAACTTACTTTGGAGCACGTTAATAGATAGGTTATTATGTGCTTATTTATAATGCAGCTACAGTCTCTTGAGCTTATTATAAAAGCCAATTCAATCAGAGATTTAAGTATTAAATTGGGGGGAGCAGAATTGGATCATATAATTTCCTTCCTTGTAAACTCCATTTTGATGTTAGAAATGTAAATCCACTCAATCAGCAAAACAGAGTAATGGCAAAGAGAACATCCATTTTGTAATGGTAGTATAAGACATTTCAATACTAATTTTCTCTCATTTTACATGTGGAGAAAGTGGAAGTAAAAACATCCTCCTAAATAAACTATTTTGATCTCCAATTACTGAAGAACATGTACCAAGTGTGCAAGCATGGAGCCTCACCTAGGGCAAAGCTAGAATGAATTTGCCAAATTATTATTTCTCTTGCAGTATGTAATATCTTGGTGATCTCTTTTTCCTTTTCATTTCCCCCAAACCTAAACACCTATATTGATTTATTAAATGGAGATGGGAAGGAATCATGTAGAGAATAGCCAGTAATCTATAGTTTTAAAATATATGACACAAGAAAACCTTTTGTGCCGAGTCAGAGTACATCCTAACCTTATATCACCTCAAGATATCTTTTTTTTAAAAATATATTTTTATTGATTTTTTTACGGAGAGGAAGGGAGAGGGATAGATAGCTAGAAATGTCGATGACAGCTGCCTCTTGCACACCCTCTACCGGGGATGTGTCCGCAACCAACGTACATGCCCCTGACCAGAATCGAACCTGGGACCTTTCAGTCTGCAGACCGACGCTCTACCACTGAGCCAAACCGGTTTCGGCAACCTCAAGATATCTTATGCATCCTTCCTTTTCAGTCACTTAACATGAGTATTTTTTTTAAGTCTACACGTTCTCTTTAAATTGTAGGAGAACCACAAGCTTTAACAGAACTTAAAAGATGCCTTTTTTTTTTTTTTTTTTTTTTTTTACCATCTTTGGTTGACTCTATCTTTTACCAATTATTATTTCCTAGTGAAATAATGTTTTAATAACATTTTAGACTTGAAGTTGTTTTTCTCTCTGGGGTCTGTGTCACATGATAAAGTTTTCTCCTGCCACACTATGGCGACATTAGCACCTGAAAGGTGGTAGGTCTGTCTGGTGTACGGAATACATTTGGTAATGAAAGAACCCTTCTTAGACATGTTTAAGGTAACTTCAGAAACACAAATGTGGTCTGTAAGTTATGGATGCTGATGCTTATTTTGCCAACCCAACAGTAATCTATATGAGAGCAACTCTGTCATCAAGAAACTAGTTTCAAGATCAATGGGGAAACTACCTCAAATCCAGCTTGCTGATGCTGCCAATTCTGATTAACTGATGTTGCTACCTCCCAGCCCCTTCTCTTTTGTGTTTCATTTTATGGAAATTTGAAGCAGGTAGCACCCCTCCCCCTCCCCCCAACCCCAGCTCTCCATAGACCAAGTTGAAGAAACTCACTTGAATACATAAATGGGACTAGAAGGCCATTCTGTACTGTCAGTTACTACCAAGTTCCTAAGGTGAAAGGGTAAGATTTTTGAAGTCTCAAACATCATAACTGGCTTTTAGAGTAAACCAGAAAAGACTTAAGATCCTGAAGATTTTCACAGGAAGAGATTGTTTCCCCAAGTTTTATGTGACTATAATGAAAGCAAACAGTGGATAAAGGAGTTAACTGTATCCATTTCGATAGAAATATGTGTATATTTAACATATTCATTTAGTCCTCTTTACACTAGCAAGAGTTGCATTCCTGAACTTGAATCTTTTTTTATGTGCATTTTCATATGTAACTATTGATAATTTAATAATTTTAAAAGATGCCTTTTTTTTACCCCCTTTGGTTAACTATATTTTTAATACCCTGTAACATTCATGACATTATCTGCATATTTTTATGTGTTTATCTGATTTTCCATTAAGAAGCAGATTGCATCAAACGAATATACACATTATCTGATAGCTATAAAAGTTATGCCAATAAAAACAAACCAGTTATTATTTCCTAGTGAAATAATGTTCTAATAACGTTTTAGACTCGAATTTGTTTTTCTCTCTAAGGTCTATTTCACATGATAATTTATCAGGGCATTAACTGACTGCATGTTGATTAGTTGATTCATAAACTGTGGGAATATTGCATAGTTCATGTTCCTAATTAATAATATTTATGGAGAAATCTAAATTTTGTGAAGGAGAAGTAGGTTGAAATTCCAATTAAATTTTTTATCATCCCTCTTTGTTTCCACTTTATTAAAATTAAAAACATGATTGAATAATAAATTGCTATGCTAAAATGATCATAATGACAAAACAGAACTGGCATGAGAACAAATATATTGAAGTAAAAATAACCAGGAAGTTATTCAAATGCAGGTAATAGAAATACCCTTAACTTCCTATAAAAAAATTCACAATGACTCTAAATTAAAATGAGTTTATGATCTGTATTTTTTTAAAATTCCCATTAATCTAAAAATGCTGACCTATTGATGAAAATGTTTAAGATTTAATCTTTTAACTTTTTAATATTAACTTATTCAGTGTGATGAGACTTTTTATGATAATGGAGATAAGCATAGGAGTAAATTAGGATTATTAACCAAGGACCCATACACTTAATTTGGGGCAATAATTTTAGGCTTTTCCCCCTACACATGTTTGAATCCACTGACCAGTTTCCTCACTTTAAAAAATGTCATTAAAAACTTAAAGTCTGACTTTCTTATTATTGCAGAGACTAAAAGAGAGAGGAAAAAATATTTTCTGGGGTGTCTGGGTATCTAAAGACCAACTTCAAATTAATCAATAATCATCTCCTGTTAGTGAAAGGATAATTAGTTTTTAGAAGTTGTCCCTCAGTACTGGACCAAAGTCAGGATGTTTGAGGGGAAAAAAACAAAAAACACTACAGACCTACTATGCGTGTCAATTCAAATTTAGTGAGGGAGAAAAAGAACTCAAACCCTA